GAATCATTAAATTTTTCTAATATTAATTTGAAGAAGTTCTGTATTGAACAAGACATTGAAGCATGTGCTGTTAAAATAAATCTATTAGATACCATCTTATACATACTATCTGTTTATAGATCTCCAAATGGAAACTTTAGGCAGTTTCTAAAGGGTATAGATAACATTCTAAATTATTTAAATAAACCAAATATAGAAATTATTATGTGTGGTGATATAAATGTTAATTATCTGTCTGAAAATTGTAATAAGAGACAGCAATTGGATAATTTACTTGCAATTTATAACTTAACTAACTCGATAAATTTCCCTACTAGAAGTACAAAGGACTACACCTCGGCAATTGATAATATCTATATTGATATAACCCATTTTGAGGGTTATGCTGTCATTCCTGTTGTAAATGGCTTATCAGATCATGATGCCCAGGTAAATAAGTTAGAAAATATACTAATGAGTAAAAAAATGAATGAAGTTAAAACTATGAGAAATATTGATAAATACTCTATAAACGATTTTAAATTTAAATTGAGTTATGAGACCTGGGATGATATATTTAATGAAAATGATGTAAACAAAATGTTTAATAATTTCCATAATACATATTTAAGGATTTTTTATTCATGCTTCTTAAAGAAGAAAATTATTGTAAACAAGAAAGAGATTAGTTGGATGACTAGAGGAATAAAAATTTCACTTAATCATAAGGGTGAGCTATATTTGAATATTAAATATAATAATGATCAGGCATTAAAAGATTTCTATAAACATTATTGTAAAATTCTATCAAGAGTTATTAAGGAGGCTAAGAAATATCAATACAATAAAAAGATATTAACCTCCAGCAATAGGATCAAAACTATATGGAATATTGTTAAAACAGAAACAGGTAGAAAAACAAAAAAAGAAGGAATATCATTAATAAATCATAACGGTCTGCAAATAGATGATCAGCACATAATATCAAGTACTTTTAATAAATATTTTTCGTCAATAGCAGACGAAATAATAGGTCTAAATATAAATGAGACAACTGCCATAAATAGTCTTCAAAATACAGAACGAGCCTATCCTAGGATTAAATTTGTAAATACATCAACCCAGGAG